GGCTGGTGACCACAGATGGACATGAAATCATGTCGCCCATCTAGTCCATGTGTCTTTGACTGTAGAGGGTATTCTGTGTTTATTATATTCAGATCATTTGTTTGAAATGTGTTTTTGTACTACTTTGAATTGTTTCTTTTCTTCAGTGTTTTAAACACGTCAACTGAAATCGCAACAGAATCTGTTTTCAACACCGCAGCCGCTCAACATGGTGTGTTTCTGAGAAAACGCATTGTTAAATTCGAACAGACTGAGAGCTGGAATGATTAGGACGAACTTATTCTAGTTCTGTGCATCATGCGTATCTATTAACCAATCAAGTTAACTGGCAGCTGGTGTTGAGAACAGGTTAGTTAACCAATAAGCTACAAGAGCCATAAATGAAGAATGTTCTAACTTAAACTCACCTGTTCTGGAGTGTGTGTGCAATATGACAAATACAATCAAACCTGCTGGATATCACCTTCATGAGGCCATTAACTAGCAGATTCTACTACACCTGGGTTATTATTAGGTAACTAAACTCAATCTAAAACCATACAAAAATCTTTTTTGTTACTTGAAATAAAACAAACATGAATTGAAATGAAATGTATAAAAACTAAAACATTTTTAACTCAATTTTTCATTTTCATTTAGTCTGAATTGATGTACTAAAATAACTAAAACTGAAATAAAAATGAATAAAAACGATAAAAATAAAAAATAAATGAAAAAATAAAAATTATAGATTTACTCAACAAAATTGCCAAAACTTTAACTGAAATTAAAATGAAAACTATAATTAGTATCTCTCAAAAGATAAAAAAGAAAAACAGAAATAAAGAAAAAATTGAAATTTTCGTTAACTTTAAACACAAGCCAATGCAGTGCAAAATTAAAAATCTAGGTAAAACACTTGTAAAAAAAAATAATAATAATAATAATCAATACTGAAAATTCCTTCCATTTCCCATATTTTTACTTTTTTTTTTTTTTTTTTTTTTTTTTTTTTTTTATGTAGTGCACACTGAAATAAATTTGGTCTAAAAGCAATTTTCACTCAGAAATTACTAATAAATTTCACAAATAATTAGAAAGAAATGTCAAGTAACACATTGGATTCAGCTTTAAATTTTGAGGTTGAAAGACTGAATTAGTATTTTCTTCTTAAACAATCCAATAATCTTTGTTTTATAACTTCGAAAGATCATTTTTACAATAGTCCTCCTAACAAGATTTGCAAATGTTCCAGTTCTTATAATCAGTCCGGTATTATGTTCACGTTGCATTGTTGTCTTCTACTGAAACACTGATAGTAATGATGGTTTGTCAAACAGTCACAGGCTTTGGGCTTGACTTACATAACAGACTGAGAGCAGAGACTCAAACACAGTCCTGGAGTGACCCTAGTTATGCTTTATATCTATATTGAATCAGTAAATAATATTTAATACCGAAATGAAATTGAAACCGTTACAATTGGAAATTTCATTTCAATATTTCTTGCTATCATGTATTGTTCTCTTTAGAGTGTATTGATATTTTAATTTTAATAGAGCGTTTCAAATCATCACATATGAGGTTGTTTCCTAAGAAGGGAGCTGCCTATGTAGACAGCAGGTTGGCTCACCAGGGTTTGGAACAGAGCTCATCACTCTTTAATTATTTGTGTAATCTGTGAAGACAGTAAGTGCTTAATTTCATCTTGTAAGGACTCAGCATTATGATATTATCCAATTAGTCAAGATACACAGAGTGACATAATGTTTCACTTCCCGCACATGTGATAAATGGAGTGTGACATCCAGCCGGTTTGACTGTTTCATCTTTTGAAACGGAGACAAATGAGAGTCTGATCTCGTCTGGATGAGGTGAAGTAAACATATCAGGTTTTGTGACCCTTCGCTGTTTCGTTCGCTCGTTGTTCTCAGACCTCACCAACATCATCCACAGTCCGTAGGTTGGAGTCGTGGTCGTGTGAATACAGTAGATGTTGTCAAAATGGCCTGTGATTGGATGTTGTTGATGGGTTGAACTGTTTTAGTTGAGCTCTTTCTGTTAGCGTTAGCCTCTAGCCGTGCAGTCAGTCACTGTGTTTAGGTGTGGTGATGATAGAACGAGAGATCGGAGGCTCAGCCGGGATCCATCCCACAAAAACCCGGCTTCCTCTCAACCGACCCTGCCTTCCTCCAAACGCATTCACGAACTGGACGATGTACTGAAATGACCTGCTGATCTGGAGTATTCTCCGCTGTTTAAATCAGAAAGGATTTGTAAAGTATTCTGGAGCGTATTCAACATATTTGTTCCCTTTTCTGAATTTAATCCACATTGTTTGCAAAATGCCTGATGCAAGTTGAGCAAAATTCAGAATTTGAGAATTTGGATTGTGAATTTGAATGGAAATGCAACCCAGGATGTTGAATTGAAAATTTTGAATTGACCTTGATTTATTTGTAACTTCAAAGAAATTCACCAGTTTTGAATAACTGTGTATTTAATATGTATAAAATGTAGGAAAAATTTATACATTTCTCAACCAAATAGAGAAAATTCTTTAAAAGTTATATATTCTCAAAACAATTAGCAGACATCTAAAACAATTAGAATATATATATATATATATATATGTGTGTGTGTGTGTGTGTGTGTGAGAGAGTGTCTCTGGTGATGTGTGTGTGTGTGTGTGTGTGTGAGAGAGTGTCTCTGGTGATGTGTGTGTGTGTGTGTGTGTGTGAGAGAGTGTCTCTGGTGATGTGTGTGTGTGTGTGTGTGTGTCATTTTGTTGTGTGTTTTTGTCATTTTTATTAGTTTTTTTTAAATATGTAGTTTTTACTATATTTTAGTTTTTATTTTATTACTTCAACTTACACCAAA